TATAATGAATGAATGCGAACTAACCCAAACTAACCGGGTTATTATCGGTTTGATAATGTCTGATTGAAGTTGCAAACTATTAACACGTTAATTTGTCGTCTTATATCAATTCGTCGTATCGTTAATTCGTCGTATTTCAGATATACTATCTAACCGGATTATGATCGGTGAGTTTGATTTAGTCTGAAATTACAAACTATTAACACGTTGGCTATCACATGAGTCACCAGTAATGCATAAGATTCATACCGACAAGGATGTTTGACCCAATTCACCCCCAGTACGAGTTAGTTGACGTTACTTCACGACAAATTGACGTATATGACAAATTGACTTCACGAGGAATTGACGTATACGTCAAATCCATGCTACGACGAATTGGCGTATACGACGAATTAACTTTAGGACTAATTGAATTTACGACGAATTAACTATACGGCGAATTGGCGTACGACGAATTGACGTACGACTGATTGATTCACGATGACAGTGACCCCTCTGACCCTAATTACTTCAATAATTAACTCAATCAACTTAACTGTTACAATTGACGTGTCTCGCAGAAATAGAAAAAGAGAGCTTAATTGTAAAAAATACAAGTTAGAAAGTATTGAAAAATGACATGCGCGCGTAACGCGTGGCTGCAGTGTAGCCAGATTGTATTGTTACAGAACAAATGTAGACAATACAAATCGAACATTATAACATTAAAGAAGTGATATATTGTCAAGTGTTCTACAACGCCTTAAATCAGACAAAAGAAGAGCTTTAAATTGTATGTTAACTTCGATGGCACTTTTATTTTGAGAAATGTTTTATCCGGCAACATCACACAATGAAATTGCAAAGGAATGTGTCAAGTATAATCTAACATAACCTTAAATGACACTGCGATAAGTTCAAGTAATACGTAAAGTATTAGTTTATAACGTACTTATTTTGGCAATTGACGTTTTCAATTAAAAGAGATGGACAATAAAGTATGAAAACAATCATTTTCCCGCCAACATTTGCTTGCTTGTCATGCCAATGTGTATTGTGTGTTTTGAAAGAAATTGTGGGAAAAGTTACTACTTCATTTGCAGAACTTCGCTATGGAGAAAGCGGTGAATTATTTTGGAAGCAAACAGCTCCCGCAAACTAAACTTGAACGTGGATTACTTTGTATACTTGATGGGCCGTGGATTCCCTTTTTTTTTGCGAGTATTCTTTCTGATTTTATGTATCCAAAATTTGACAAATGTAGGATTTGATGGAAACTTATGGAAAGACACTTCCGCCGGTAAATAAGAATTATTTTTACAAAAAGGCACACTACACAATCACCATTGTTAGGAAAAAACCGAGGAAATAATAGTTTCCAGTTTCCACATGTACAAAAGTCTTGTCAACAAACCACTGTCAGCGGCTGTCAACCGTTGTTTTCATACTCTTTTGGCGTCTGACAGTTTGACGCCAGAGAGAGAAGCTTTTAAATTGAAAAGGTCAATTGCCTAATTATACTGCATACGGCTAGTCAGCATCAGTCCGGAGGCCATGGGTCTATGGGTTCCTTGTATACATCTTACCTTTGGGCGCCACGAAGTTAATTGTGACTTAACTAGGAAGATAACCTAATGATGTTATAAACAAAACCTGTGCAATTGGAGAGCTTATCAATAAAACAACTAATTAGGTACAATAATGTATCTGGCTTCTTTATTAAAAAATAATAACAATAATGAATAGGGATAGCCAGGACATCATTATGGCTTGTACCAATTTATAAATATTTGATTATAAAAAAATTCATGTAAATAACGCATATATAAATATGAATTTTAAGTGAACATGACTAAAAACCTTTTGGTATTTACACTTGTGAGTGATAAGAAAAATACAGTATGGGTTACACTTTACCAACAGGCAAATTAAACACACAAAAATGAAAGTTATTGTTAGGGCAACCTCAGGGTAAAATTCTAGAATTTTATTTAAGGGGCACTTACCGAACCTAATTCAGTATCCAGTGATTTACATAGGATTTGCCTATATAGTAAAAGGTGTAACTTACATGTGATACAAGTGTTTGTTATCTTCACATGTATGTGTAAATCCAGAAGTTCCAAGAGTGAGGTTAGCTACATGTTTGGTCTCACTGTAGATAGACAATGGTATGATAAGTAAGTCATGAGTCCTATCCACGTGGTATCTGTTTAACGTAGAACTCAATGTGGTTCTAGCAGAGCGGTACCAAGAGGGTTGCTGAAGGGAGGCTACCAAAGCCAACTAAGAGCAATCTAGATCTAGTCTAGAATCTCTTTCTAGGAGCTGTCCAACTATAGCCTAAGACTGTCTAGCTACAGCCTAGCACTAGGACTAGGAGTAGGACCCTCAAATTGAGGGATCCTCTAGACCAAAGGTGAAGTCTTAAACTTCCAAAAGCTGCTCGGAACAGTCCGAAACAAAATCCAAAATGACCAAGGGACGACTCTAGACAATTATCAACAAGAAATTAGTCTAAACCTTGAGTTCCCTGGCACAAAATTCCAAAAAGTCTCGCCCAAAATCAAATAGGGCCGAGACCAACCTTTCGGTATCAAGTCTCAAGATCAAAAGGCTGATTCTTCATTTAGATTTCGGAAGAAGGCTCTCACTTGTCAAACTTCTAATTTTGACATTGAAGAAAATTATTAGGCAATTCAATCCATCTGTCAAAAAGGAAAATTCAATGTGGCGTGGCGGCCAAGCAAGCTTGTTTTGGATATGTTTTTATGCGTATTTTAAATTATTTTGCATACAGTTTTGCTTACAACTTTGATTTGCATTATTTAATAAAATATTTGTTGACTAGGTACCTAAACTATTAATTCGGGCAGAAACTAGATATTTTTTTGTGTTTTTTGGCCCATGTGTGGCCGCCACGCCATCTTGAATGTCACGTGGTTTGAATTGCCTAATAGAAAAAAAGCGTGTTCAGTTTCACCCCAAAAGTACGAACTGAAAGTTTGGTTGTGTAAAAATGACTGGTGAATATTGAAAAATGCCTATAGAACATATTATATCAAAAAGTAGAACAGGTCTAACGAAAACGCCTAGACAAAACAGCTGTTCAATGACATGATGGAAATGAAAAATCAAAGAGTAAACAACAATTTATCATAACCTCAGATTATTGATTGGATTTGCAAACAGAGATGATGATGGTACTACCTCCTTTTCCTAAGATTCTAATCAATAACAGCGGGCCCTGCCGTACTGAATCAAACCTTCCTAGATCAATCAACAAAACTTGCAAACCTGCACAAAAAAACTTTCAGTAGAAGGCAGTAATCAAGGTAACAAAATCTGGGCACAGAAAAGACAGTTGTTTATTCATTTATTTCATTGTAGTTCTATATAGAATCATATCTACTAGAGCAAAACACAGTAGCATATCAAACAAGAAATTGAAAATGCTACAAGTTTGCTCTTTGTCAAATTACATGTTACAAAGAAAGAAGGAATGATTAATTCTGAACTCGTTCCTGAATACGAATATGACGTAAGCCCGTAAGAAACTCGATTTTCATTGGACGCTCACCTGCAACCCACGGGTTGCGCGCGCTCACCAGGTATTACGAGACACGTCAATTCTTACAATATTCACTATCTTAATCGTATAACAGCCAATCTCAAAAGTAAAAACTACCAACTAATCCCGGCCTTTATATATCCGTAATCCATTCCTGTAAAATCTAGAATAACGGCAATAACGCAATAGTATTTTTCCCGAATAACGCAGTACGTTCTAGAATTCAGCTATGCGATTCTGTGCGCCCTGGCGGAGGCGTCACAATTCGTTACACTGCCCACTGCTCTCTTCTTAACGTTGATCGTCCCAATCAACTGCACGCTGATGATATTTAATCAATCTGTCAATGTACAACTTTCATCTTATTCCTGGTGTTGCGCTGAACTCGATAAAACAAATCGAAATCATTGATACTCTTGATTATTCTGTAGGGTTTTTCCCATGCTGAAGATAATTTCGGCGACTCTCCTTTTTTTCTTGTTGGATTATACAGCCACACTAAATCACCATCTTGAAATCTAGCTGATCTGACTCTCAAGTCGTATCTGATCTTCATTTGGTCACTGGCCAGCTGAATATATTCCCGAGCTAAATGATCTATCCCCGGAAGTCGTACCCTATTCCAAACATCAAATCGCATGGTATCAGAAATTGACGTGTCTCGTAATAGTGTGCGCGCGCAACTCGAGGGTTGCAGGTGAGCGTCCAATGAAAATCGAGTTTGTCACAGGCTTGCGTCATATTTGTATTCAGGGACGAGTTCAGAATTAATCGTTCCTTCTTTCTTTGTAACGTGTAATTCGACAAAGAGCAAACTAATAAAGTTCGTTTTTTTTTTAAAGATAATTCCCCAAGTCAAAAATTTAGTAACTTTGTTGGCAACACAAGCCTTTTCTACATAAAAAATTTGAAAGCATTGACACTTTTACATTATATTGCCAACATAATGTCATTTTGACTTTTATCTTTAAAAAAAAAAACAGATTTTACTTTTTGTATTACTTGAACTTATCCCAGTGTCGTTTATGGTTATGTTAGATTATACTTGACATATTCCTTTGCAATTTCATTGTGCGATGTTGCCGGATGAAACATTTATCAAAATAAAAGTGCCATCGATGTTAACATACACTTTAAAGCTCTTCTTTTAGTTCTTTTTTCTGATTTAAGGTGTTGTAAAACACTTGACAATATATCACTTCTCATTTAATGTTATAATGTTCGATTTGTATTGTCTATTGTTCTGCAACAATACAATCTGGCTACACTGCAGCCAAGAGTTGCGCGCGCATGTCATTTTTTATCACTTTCTAATTTGTATTTATTACAATTAGGCTCTCTTTTTCTATTTCTGCGAGACACGTCAATTCTCGTTTATGCCTATTTGACCTTAAGTCAATAATAAATCAATTTAAAAGTAAATAAAATTCTCTTTTTTTTTTTGTAGAAACTCTTTGTAAAACTAAATGGGAAATTTTACTGAGTAGTTACAAGAAGTCTAGAGATGAAGCAATCCAAGCATTGGGCGCTGGATCTGGAAAACCAGGAAAAGAATTTCTGGAAAGGTTTAAAACTTTCGAATTCCTTGAGAATACAGCTTTCGGCGAAACTGAGTAAGATAGACAAATTATTTCACAATAATAGTGAAATAAATTAACATTATGTTTTCATTCCAGAACTTTACCCAACATTAACGAGGAAACGCAAAATAATCAAGAATCCGAATCAGACTGTTCAAACAACGAAGCATCAGAATCCGATTTATTAGAGGCAATTGAGGGGGACAAACGTAAACGTCAAGACAGTGTGGAGCAAAAAATACACTCACAGTCAAAAAGAAAACGATTATGTAATGAAAACTGTTTACCGGAGGAAGACAAGACAAGACAAGAAGAAGCCAATGCTGTTATTGGTGAATTAAAAGAAACCTTGCCACAGAATGGTTCGCTGGATCCAGCTATGTCCCTGTTTTTCCGGAGTATAATTTCAAGTGTAGAGAGATTTACTCCGAAGATGAAAGCAAAAGCTAAAGGTGAAATTATGAACAGTGTGGCTCAGCTAGAAATTCAAAATATTAATGAACAGAGAATGCTGAAACTCCTAGAAACCCCTGTGAAATTGTAAAACCTTCAAATTTACCAGTATCAATCTACAAAATATTAATGAACAGAGAATGCTGAAACTCCTAGAAACCCCTGTGAAATTGTAAAACCTTCAAATTTACCAGTATCAATCTACAAATAAATGGAGATTTTCAATTACACCTGGCATTTGGAATCATAACTCATAACAAGATAATTCTGTCAATTTAAAGAGTTTAGTTTGTAGTAAAATTATTATTAATGCATGTTTAGCAATATTTGATTTAGGAATAAGTTTTTAAGAATTTCCTTTCAATTAAACAAATGGGATTTCCTTTATTTTATAAATATGTATTTCATTTTATTTTCATAGCTTAGATAGGTAATGAATTCTTTACTTAAGAAAACCGCCCTAGTTTTTGTTGTCACATGCTATAAATATAGTAGAGTAAAAAGAGACAACTATTTTTCCTTTTCGTTTAGTATTACCAATAGTACCGACACCCTGAATATAAAGTTTTACGTTTGCAATAGTGCTGTGTACCCAAGGTACCAATGAGTCTCTACCTGGGATGCCTGTACGAGTTGGACAAGCGGTTAGAAACAGTAGTCTTTTTTTACTTTACTTTCTTATTTATAGCATGTCGCATCTTCTTGTGCCTGCTTAACTTCAATAATATCAGATTTTATAAATTTTTCAAATAAATATGCAATTACGCATTTTTTGTTGTTTTCGTTTTCCTTAATGAAAAATTTAGTCTGGTTTTGACAATGGCTTTGAATCATCTTTCACCAGTACTTTGGGGCCAACTTGCTCCATGTGGCAAAATCTTTCAGCACTTGCTGTGGCGTATACCTCATTCGAAGGGTAGCCAGAAAAAACAACCGTGCACATACATTTTGCTGTGTTCGGACTGCAGTTTGCGTCCGAATTTCTCATTTTCGTCTAATGAAGGCCTAAATGGTTTTTTCACTACTTTGAGTAGTACTACATAAGAACTTTCTACAACAGCTGAGAGAGGTGTAGCAGTTCCTACAAACTCTCTTCTTTTTGTCGTCCCCTCACACGTAGTGAGTAGTGAGTAAAAGAAAGAAATTTAAATATTCCTTTTCATATCGCCTATACTGTCATAAAGATTGTGTTTTTAAGTAAAGTGTGATAATCTTAGTGTGTAGTACAAACTTAGTGTATTTATTTCAGTATTCTCAGTAACGCTGAGATTAGTATTAAAAAACTGTTTATAGTTAATAATGATACTAGTTCGATATAAACACCATAATGAAACGCGTGTAACGTTAGTTACACAGTTACACAAGTTTCATTAATAAAGTTCATATCGAACGTGTATCATTCAAAATTTAATCTACGATGGTCCAAATAAATTTGATTTGCCTTGAAATAGCAAAAACTTTTCAAATTAAAATTCAAAATTTAGCAGGTGCCTGTAGATTGCGGGGGAGTCGTTTCGGCTTTTCAGCCGCTCAGCACTGCTACCTTTGCAGATATTTCGTACATGACTCTACATCTCAAATTGTCTCCAGGAAGCGTAGACTTCTGCCGAAGGAAGCTATTTTCCTGGGTGACAGTTGGCCTACTTCTTCTGGTGACAGTGTTGCCCCCTCGAGGAATTTGAGACTCTTGCAGAATTGGGCTGGACATTCGCAGAGCAGGTGCTCTGCGGTCTCTATTGCGTCTGAGCAGAATCTGCAGAGATCGTCTTCCGCTCTGCCCATTAACCTTAAATGGTATTTTACTGGGCAGTGTCCTGTGAGCAGTCTCTCCACCAATTTGATGTCTGGTCTGCTCATGCTTAGGAGCTGTTCAGCTCTTTTTGCTGAAAGGGTAATAAACCTTTTAGACTGTCTGAGTCCCGGTGTGTGCCTCCAGTATGATGACAGTTGGTCTTTCTCTCATTTATTGAGATCTTCCATGATGTGGCTTTTCATTAAGCCACAGTAGGGCTCTGGTCCATGGTATGGTGTTGAGGCCCCTTCCTTTGCGAGGCCATCTGCTTCTTCATTTCCTTCTATGCCTCGATGACCAGGCACCCACATCAGCGTTACCTGGTTGTGTGTCGCTAGTGTTTTTAGGGTCTGTTTACACTCCCAGACTAGTTTTGACGTGCATTTGAAAGCCTTTAAGGATTTTAAAGCAGCTTAGCTGTCCGATAGTATGAAGATGTGTTTTCTTTTGAGGCTTTGGCTAAGAGACTCTTGTGCACATATATCTATGGCAATCAGTTCGGCTTGAAATATTGTAAGATGTTTACCCAATGCCTTGGAGAGCTTGAAGTTAGGGCCCGAGATGCCCAATCCAGCTCCTTCCATTAGCTTGGATCCATCTGTGTACCACAGAGATGCATTGTCTGCTTGTGGCAATTCTTTATTCTCCCATGATTGGCGGTCGTTTATTACCACTGCGAATGGGATCTCTAAGTCCAATCTGACCATCATGTGGTCGCTTGGTTTGCTGGCATTCTCCAGTTTCATTAAATCAAGGATTCGCAGATGTCCCCTCAGATCACCAGACTTGAACTTGTCTATTTGGAATAGCCTGTGAGCGCTGGTTATTGCCTCCTTTTTCACACATAGATGAAGTGGGGGCATGTTATGTAGCGTCTCTAAGGCTGTGGAGGGGCAACTTGACATTGCTCCCGTTATTACTAGACATATCAGCCTTTGCACCTTTCTGAGCTTGATCTGAGCAGTGAATTGTTGGGTTTTGGGCCACCACACCAATGAGGCGTATGTGACCATGGGTTTTATTATAGTTTGGTAAATCCAGAATACCATCTTTGGTTTTAGCCCCCATGTTTTGCCAACAAGTTTTCGGCGTGACCAAATAGCTGATGTAGTTCGAGAGCATGTTTTCTCTAACTGTTTGTTCCAAGTGAGGGTTCGGTCCAGGGTGACCCCTAAGTACTTCACTTCGTTGGAAAATGTTAGTTGTGTACCGTTAAGGGTCGGGGCTTTCAGATTTAGCCTCCTTCTTCTTGTGAACGGGACAAGGATTGTTTTGTTTGCGTTTAGGGATAATCCTTCGCCTTCGCTTTAATTTTTAACGATGTTTAGGGCACTTCGCATTCGGCTTGTCACTACGCCTTCATTTTTGCCCTTGATTACAATGGCTTGGTCATCTGCGTAGTCTATGACCTGGTATCCAGCACTACTCATTATGGTAAGAATTTTGTCTACCACCAGTGTCCATAGTAGTGGAGAAAGAACTCCCCCTTGAGAACACCCTCTGACTGTGGTAGCGGTAGCTGATGCTCCGTTTATTTCAGCCGTAACGTGACGGTGTTTCAGCATCGACTCTATCCATTTTACAATTGGAACTTCAACATCCCATTCTTGTAATGCTCTGATAGGCGGAGTGACCTGGTTCAGGGCTTCAACGATTACCGAACCTGGAAAGTGAGTTTGTAGTAGTACCTCTCTAGACTTTCTACAGTGTCCGCGGAAAAGTCTGCACCATATGGGAAATTTTTTTAAGCTCATTCTTACTTCAAATCGGTTTTCGGCATTAGGTTCTGCATGACTGAAAACCCAAAAAACACCCAACATTTTTGATTCGAGATTTGCCTCACACCTGTCAAATGCCATTTGAAAATTTCAAACAAGGAAATGTGGCATTTTTATAAAAAATATGAAATAATTTTATAAGAAAATATTATTCCAAATGACATTTAGAGTCTAATTTGATATATTTGCTTTGAAATTTCAATTTGAGAAATCTAAAATTTTTAAAATAGTCCAGTGGCGTATCAAAATTTTAATAGAAATATTTCGTTTTGATGTTTAAACTCTTAATTAGATTATTGAGATTTAAAAAAACCATTGGTCAGATACAAACTAATTATTTTAGAGGAATGGTCGCGAAAGAAATCCTAAAAATATTATTTTTCCGTAGATATTCGAAAAAATTAAAAAAAAATATATATTTTTTTTCAAAGCAAAAATATCAAATTAGACTAAATGTCATTTGGAACAATATTTTCTTATAAAAATTTTTCATATTTGTTATAAAAATGCCACTTTTCCTTGTTTGAGCTTTTCAAATGGCATTTGACAGGTGTGAGGCAAGTCTCGAATCAAAAATTTCAGGTGTTTTTTTGGTTTTCAGTCATGCAGAAGCTAATGCCGAAAACCGATTCGAAGTAAGGGTGAGCATAAAAAAAATTCCCATATGGTGTAGACTTTTCCGCGCATACTGTATATGGTCGGTACAGACAGTGTTCTCCGTTTGGCTTCTTAAGTAGACCAATTCCGTTTGAGTGGTTTTTTGAAAGAAATTTTTGGAGACGTTGAGCTGGGACTAATTCGTCAATCCCCTCGCAGAATTGTCTCCATGATTTCCTTTTTAATTTTCCTAATTCACGGTTGTACTTGTCTAGGGCTGTTCTATAGTCTGCCCAGTTGCCGTTAGTTTTTGCCTTGTTGAACAGTTTTCTGGCATCTTGTTTCAAACGTCTAAGCTGCCCGTTCCATCAAGGCACATCCCTGTGGACTGCCTTCTGTTTTACGGGACAACTGTTCTCATATGAATCTTTTATTGCATTTGTTAGATTGTCAGATGATGCCTCTTCTATTGTATTTATGTCAGAAGGGACTTCATCGAGACTCAGGCAGAGACCCTCCACAAAGGATACCCAGTTGGTGAGTTTTGGGATTCTCGTCTGTACTGAGTGATTTATTACTGCCTCTAAGTCGAACCTTATTGCTTGATGGTCCGACAGGGAGGGTTCATTTGACACAAGCCAGTTGGTTATTGTGTTAGATGTAAATGTGTCAGCGAGAGTCACGTCTAAGACCTCTTGTCTGACGGCGTCAATAAAAGTGGGTTTGTTACCTTTGTTGATAATGTCTATGTTGTTACAGTTCAAATATTCAAAAAGGTACTCACCCCTCGTTTGTATCGGTGCTTCCCCATCCTACCTGGTGATGGGCGTTGGCGTCTGCCCCGATAATGTAGTGTCTGTTTCTCGCTCTGCACCACGTGATGAGTCGTTGGACGATCTCTGGCGGTGCTGAGTTATCATCACCTGTAAAGTAGGCTGAGGCTATGAGACAATATGCCTTGAGCCCCCTTCCGTTGGCACTTCAACTAAAGCAGCTGCCAAGTCTTGTGTGATGAACTCTGGAACAGGTAAGAATTTTAAATTTTTGTCAAGTAGCAATGCTGCTCTTGGTCTTTCGTGGTTAATGTTGTAGATTAACTTAGGTCAAAGAATATTATAGTTAACTATAGAAAACCTACGCTTATGGGCGACGGCAGACCGCTAGAGGCGCTGTTTTGGTGTTATAAATTGAAATAATTTATATTCGCGCTAGCTTTTCGGCAAACAAATTTAACAGCGTTGCGCGCTCCTCTCGGGCATATAATATTTTCTGTGATTTTACCAAAGTCTTTTTACCTTGTAAGATGATAGACTAACTGGCGCCGCGGTTTTAGAATTTTTCACATCGACATATTAGATGATATGTAAAAAAAAACTAAAGTCACAATCTATATACAGGGTGTCCGGAAAGTCAACGATAATACTGGAAGGGCTGATGGAACAACTCATCAGCATCCAGAAAAACATAATATGACCTTAGTAAAAAATCGATGGTTTTCGAGATAATGTCACTTTAATAAAATTCGTTTAAATGGTCCTGTTGGATCAGATTTTCGAGTGTCACATTAAAATTTTCATTAAT